GCCGAGCTTCAACTATCTAAGCTTTAATTTATTGTAACACAACACATTGTTTGCTTTTTTAAATGATTGCCTTTGTTCTGTAAATATGATTTTTGAGAAACGAGTAATATTTGTTGCACTTAATACCCTAAGTACAGATTTATCTATTCTAAACACAGGCATATAACTGAACTGACAGCTGGGTTTTTATCACTTTGTATGAAGTTCTTAACTCTGCATTTCATTTTTTCTCTATGCTACAATATACAAAGCTAATGTGTTCTCTGAGTTTGCAACTGCTGACCATACAATCTGTCTTTCACTCTGTTAGCAGGGATGTGCACTGTCTTCAGAGAAATGTGTCAACATGAACTAAATGAGGTGTTTGTGTATTTCTGGGACAACCACAATGTGGAGCAAAGAGCCCAGAGGCACTAAGAGAGCAGAGCAGCATCCACACATATCCCTCCTGTTAAATTTGCATCCATACATCACAATTAAAAGTGGGGGCAGAGAAAGTAAAAGCTAAGGATGCTCAGATGGTATCAATGCAGAAGGACAGCATACTTGTTACTACAGAAATGAATCTCCTTTGACTTTCTTGATCCAAGGTAATTGGTTAAATCAAAGTCTTGCGACCAGCATCATTAATTTCAGATCCACAGAAAAGGAAAGGTGGAGGGGGGTGGAAATAGTGTAGAAAACAGTAGGTTCTTTTAAGGAATCAAACAGGACTGCATCCATTGCCTTCGGAAAGTCTCTTACTCCCTTCCTGTCACTTAGCGTTGGGGCCTTTACCTGGCAGCTGAAAAAAATAAAAATGAAAATAAAACTGTACTTAGCGTTGCAAACAATTACTGACCAAAGGCCCTTCTATCTTGCCTGCACCACTAAATCTACGATCAGGCCTTGTTGTTTCTTCAGTCAATAGGAATGGATTTCTTGTAGGCAGCAAGAAATGCACAAATACCATCATGACTCAGACCAGGATTAATCGGAATGTCATCAAAAAGCAGAGGGTAAGCCTGCCATCAACCTATGTGCCCATTTTCAGGAACAAATTCAGTCACAGAGCCTATGCACATCCTTAATTGTCAGTAAGTTAAGAACTCTTTGGAGTGAGGCTCATAATCCAATACACATTTTTCTTCTTTTGAATTCTATTTGACAGTATCTAGTTCATTCTTGAAGGTTTTTAACATTGATTTACATCATTTTTAGACTTTTCATATTGTTACGACACATTACATTTTATCAGGTAAATCTTCAAAAGACTGCAGCCTTCAAAAGTGGCTAGAAAATGCACTGAACAATAAGTAAAATAACAAACATCAATTTTTTTTCTACTAATCATCTAATATTTTAAATCACTTCATCTGAAAAATCTGACCTTCTCATACAATTTGTCCTGGTCTGCAGGATCATGGTTTTTAAAAAGGCTACTCACCAAAATACAAAACTTGAAATCTATGCTGCACCACAGAAAAGGACACCACAGAATTATCTTCACTGATCTGATGCTGACTGGCCATACCTGGCTATAATTCTCATAATCCCAGGAACAATAAGAATTGCACTGCAAACTATCTGGACAGAGCCAGATAGAGGAAGGCTGCCATAAAAACTCTGCTTTTGCTGGTTTCTCTCAATCAAATAATATCTGTTATGTCCTTCTGTCATTAGGTTACACACAGAGCTATCATAATCACTGATCATTTTTGAAATACACAAAGATCAACATAATTAAAAATACTGATGAGTGTTATGTGTTAAGATACAAAACTAAATAATTGATGAAAAGGAAATTATTTATGACGCTGAAAATCTAAGGCCATTTCCATGCATACAGTTTCACAATGTCATGCACATGTTGCATTGTCATTCACAGTATGTATGCTTTGCTGTTTTGTGTTTTAACAACAGACTCACAAGAATTAGCCTAGCCACATTTCAATTAAACATTTTCAAAAAGGGTAAATTTACTCAATGGCAACATGTACCTGAACTGACCATATGTTTTCCAACACAAATTGGTTTCACCACCTGCCTCATTTTGTTTTCAACTATTTGCATTCTGAATCTTGCTGAATTTTTGATGGCTAGGAAAAGACATGCACATGAGATACTCCCACTGAGCAGCAGCCTTCAGAAATTTGCCTACCATGATGAATGAAAAATAATTATCTTGTAGAGGAAGCAATTAAGTCATACTAATCAGTCATTCATATTTTAACTACCAGAAAATTCAGAATGTTTTCCCTCTGGATACTGAGTAATTCTATCAGGTGCTGTTTACCACAGTCCTAAAAGTTCAAATCAACAATATACCATCAATTTCTAATTTTTTTTACCATTTTAATGCACATATATTATAATGTATACTTTCTAGTACAAGCATTAACAAAAGCAATCAGTTTTATGGTGATATATTCAGTGAAACAATTACACGCAAGAAATACTGCTTTGCTGTATTCATGTATCATACATCTTTACAAACAAAGCATAAACATAGTATCAAAATAACAGTGTATGGAAAATGGGGCATTTCTGTAACACTCACAATTCAACTGACTATGCAGACATATACCACACTCAGATAAGTATGATGGCAGGATCAGACAGGTCATCTTTCTTTACAATGAGTGGCTGCTCTAACGTTTCTATAAAACCTATTTCTAAAAGTGAGGTATTAATTTGGTACATATTATAAAAGAAAATATACTGAATTTACAAATAATACAAAAAACTGAATAAAGTTCTGCTGGCCAGATATCATATTTTACAGGATTTACTTCTTTCAGCCATGTGGAAAGGACATTTAACATGCACTCTCAGACATGGGCTCTTTAGAAACATAGCTACAAAACTTTAGTAGAGAAGTTCCCAACAGGATAGAAGAAAAAAGATTCAACATAGGTTGTGCGTTTGGGACCACTGTTTTTAGTAAAGAGAAATCTCAACAATCAAACAATTTAATGGGGAAAAAAACACTATTGCCCCTTGTTTTGTTGTGCTTGAACAGGTATTTTCAAGTTGGAAACTTACTCAGTCTCTTTTGCATCACTGTACTAAAGACTTCACAGAACTTTACCACTAATCTTGTCAAATCAAGCATGATGTCAATGTAAGTCTGCCCTACTAACTATTTGAGATTTATCAACATGAGAAAAAATCCAATTGCTGTTTTCTCAGGCTTTATCAACATGGGAAAAAATCCAATTGCTGTTTTCTCAGGCAAAGGTGTGCTGGTGTCGGGGTAAGAGGAGGACTGTAGTGTTATTCAAATTCCAAAGCGGGAACAGAAGCCTTGGAATTTGAATAACAGTCATTTATACATGACTAATCTTGCAAAATGCCATGCTCATGAGTTGAATTAGTAGTTGTTCTTTCCCACTCTGTAGAAATGCCCACGCAACCAATGGAATGACATCCCTACTGCAGAGAACTACAGAAGTAATTAAGGAGAAGCCCCTTAACTTGGCAACAAGAGAAATTCTGAAATTCCTAATGGCTTCAAATACATGACCAACCATTTGGAATATGCTTTCAGCTGCCTTCAATTTCACTTATAAAACTGGTTACACATTTTGAATCCAAGCATAAACAAACTTGAGATATAGATTACACAGCTACATAATGTTGATCCCTCAAACGTGTATCAGTGAAACACCACAAAAGACTTTAGACATGTGTTACACAAATAATAACAGCACACAACTGCTTATTTTCCCAAGAAGAATGAATTCCAAAATCTTCGTAGTGAGAATACAGTAGGACCAAGGTATCTGGGGAGTTCCAAGCTCCCCATAGATGCCAAAAACCAGTAAATAGAGCCTCGTGGCGCAGTGGTTAAAATGCTGTACTGCAGCTAAAACTGTGCTCACGACCTGGGGTTCAAATCCCAGGTAGCCGGCTCAAGGTTGACTCAGCCTTCTATCCTTCCGAGGTCAGTAAAATGAGTACCCAGCTTGCTGGGGGGGCAATGTGTAGCCTGTATAATTAAATTGTAAACCACCCGGAGAGTGCTTGTAGCGCTATGGGGCGGTATATAAGTCCAATAAATTA